TGAAAATCGTTAGCCATTGGTAACATATACGAAAATGTTTCAAAACCTTGGTCTTCTAAGAAGATGGCGTTCACCAGTAAAGTGTCCACTAATTGGCCGGGCTCTACAATAAGTCTTTGTTTGTAATGTGAACCTTTTCGTATTAACCGTTCATAATAGGTAACTATGAAAGTTGTCTCTTTATCAGCAGCCAGAGTTAAATCAATTTCGAAAATGTTTCTTTTAGGGTCGTCAATTAACCTTTTTCTGACCTGTGCTGTTAATGCAGTCTGTGTATTGGTTCCATTGTCTTCCGTTGATATGTTTTCATTCAAAACCATTTCACCAGTATATTCTACACCATCAATGATTGCACTAAAACTTGCTATGAATGTATCTTCAGGAATCGGCAAAACAAATGTTGAACTAACTGTTTCCGAGTGTTCGTTTTCAACATGAATCGTATACCTCACAGTAGCAAAATGGTTCTGTACAAAAGAGTTGATAAAATAGTTTTTCATTGTAAGCGTTTTATCGTCATCTCTCTTGAATCTCTCCAGATCGTCCCTGACCAGATTCGCCGAAACACATCCACTACTTATAAGTAATACAAAAATGAACTCTTTAAACATTTTGAGTTTTTCCGATTAGTATGTACACTTTAGCTTACTGTTTGCTTAGTATGAAACTTCAAGCAGATTGTTTCTTCTTTTATAGAGTTGCAAAACAGAGATTGTGCACGTTTGAATAATATGTTTGTGACGACGAACTATTAAAAAGACATTATTAGCACATCCTGCTTCCATTTTTAGAGATTTCCATGTTTAGGGATTGCAACATGGAAAAACCAACCCCAAATACTAATAATAGTAGATATCATCACGAACTTACAAGTGAATACAGTCAACATATTCGACATTGCAAATGTTATAATGTGGGTGTTCCAAACGTATACAAACTTTCAGTCAGTTCCCTAAAATACCAACCGGGCAAATACTAATAATAGTAGATGTTGCCACAAACTTCCTCAATTATACTATTGCATACACCCTTGGGTGATCTCTGTTGGGGTTATATGATTACACTAGGACGGCTATTAGTTTGCTCTTGATGCTGCCAAAAAAAAAAAAAACTTTGCCTATGATTTCAATAGCATCAACGATTTTCGAACGATTTGAATACGATGGTTTAATTGATAAATATTATAAACTATTTTGATTCTATTCTGTTAAAGACTTTTTTGTTTTGATTCATCGTCTCTTCAACATTCGAAATTATTATTTATTTCTACCGTATTTCTCTGAGGCAGACAAACCTCTTACTGAGGTGATGTCACAGGATTGGACCGGCCAATCAACAGACATGCACAAAGCAATTTTAACGTTTTGTTTGTAACAAGGATCGCGTAAGCTA